CTTTGGTGGCTCTCGGAGTGGCTGTTGTGGAGGCTCCCGCTCTCGCTGGAGGGATGCTCCGAGGAGGGGCCCCGCAGCATTTTCAAGCGGTGGTGCTTCCCGTCCCGGCACTGCTTAGTTCTGCCCCGGTGGTTCCTGCGGCCGTGGAGGTTGCTGGCGTGCCTGCTGGCGCCGGTGGTCTTGCCATCGGCAGGGTCTGGCTCCAGGCAAGCGGCCGGGCGGGCGTCTGCCTGGCTCTGGGCTACCTGCAGGTTGGTGAGTTTGCAGCGGCCCCCGGCCGAGCCGGTGCTGCTGGGTGAGGAGGAGGAGGAGGCGCCGGAGCGAGCTGCCTCCGGGTCGCAGCCGATGAAGACCTGCGAGCCATGCTCTGGCACCAGCCCGGGGTGGACGTATGCCTGCATGGGCAGGGCGTTCCTGTAGGAGGGGCAGCAGGAGAACCAGGAGTTGAGGACATCCCGGCGCCGGACGCAATGGTGGATGAAGATGAAGAGTCCCAGCGCCACGGCGGTGATGCCGTAGAGGCAGCTGAAGACTATGTTCAAGTACCAGCGCTGGGACACAGCCATGGCGCCGAACGTCCACAGGGTGACGTACAAGGCGTGGGTGGTCACCAGTGCCCAGAATTGCACCTGCAGAGAGTAGACGCCATCCGCCTCCGGGCAGGGTGGTCCCGAGTTCAGCGTGACCGAGATGGACCCGGAGTCTGTCAGGAGGTCGCCAGCACCCCCCAGCCGCGGCGGTGGCTCCAGTGGCTCAGGGACGTCTTTCCGGCGTGACGGTCGGCACTGGAGACTGAGCCCAGCGCAGAGAAAGTAAATCCAGGTGACGAGCAAGATGAAAGCCACGGGGACGTAGAAAGCCCCCAGGCTGGGCCGCCACACCAGCCAGCAGCTGTACGGGAAGAAAGGGGCTTTGATGAGCAGACCTGGGTGCCTGCACAGCCAGCAGCCAGGTGTTGTGGTACTGTGATGCTCAGCACCCCTGCCCTGATGGCACGGGCTCTGCGGAGGCGTGCTGGTTGCCTGGCTGGGTTTTTCCCAATATATGGATAGCTCTCGGGAAAAATCTCACCGGCTTTTTCCAAGCTTGCCTGGATTGCCGGTGCTGCTGGCTCCCCTGCCCCAGTGGAGGGAGGACTCCCGTTTGAGGAGGAAGGCATGGTTGAGCAGGGACACTTACTAGGGGTTGTTGTCATGGTAGTTGTGGATGTTGACGGCTGCCGTGATCCCGCAGATGATGAGGGGGATCCCACCGGCGCACCCCCCCCCCCAGCCTCTGGACGTGGAGCAGGGGATGCTCCCATGGCTCTCCGCTCCCCCGCGGGGCTGGGGCGAGGGGAAGGGGTGTTCGTACCGTAGCATGGGTCTGGGGGCCGGCTGGGACGTGTCCCCATCTGGCTGCTGCGGGGCCTTCCAGGTTACCTCCTTGTAGAGCACTCTGGCTTTCACCGCCATCCACAGCAGGGTGGAGAGGGAGGAGTAGTGCAAGATGATGCCGACCTGCAGGAGAGAGGCGATGGCCGGGAAGGGGGGTGCTGCAGACATGGCTGCGTCCCCGCCGGTCACCATCCTGCGGGTCTCGGCAGGGCGAAACCTCTGCAAATTGCAGAGCAGCCGCGGGCAGCGGCAGCGTGTGGTGGCCATCCCCTCTCCCCGGTACCTACCGCTTGGCAGACAATCAGGTAGCCGGTGAGGGTTATGCCTCCTGCGAAGACGGCGGCCGTCATGGCGATGTGGAAGCAGAGGTTAAGCAGCATGTGCCAGCCCTTCCGCGGGATGAGAATGGTGCTGGAAGAGAGGCACAACGGGCACCCGTGAGCTCCTGCCCGGCCCCGAGCAGGAGCGTTATTTGCAGTGCGTGAGAGAGCCCTTTCCTGCAGCACAAATCCTGCCTCCGCTGCCCTGGAGGGATGCTCTGCACAGCCCAACCCTGCCCAGGCAACGGAGCGTGGCTAATGAAGAAGCCGTGCATGCCTGTGGGCAAAGAACTCATAGCTGCTGGCAACCACGGGGCTGTCAGCAAGGAGCCACCGGTGCTGGGACGCGGAGAAGGGGACGTTTCCATCGCGAGATGTGGGCTGATAGCGCTGGCCGGCTTTGCTGGCGTTTGCTTCACTTACAGCAACAGGAATGGCTTGGCCTTATATTTATCTAAATAAGCCCTTGTTCAGTGTTAGATATAATAATTATTATTATTGGCTTCTTCCAACTGGGTAGTCGTTAGATGTGGACTGATAGTGTTGCTTGGCTTTGTTAATACTGGTTTTACTTACCATAAATTGAATGGCTTGGCCTTCTATGTATCTCATTAAGTACTGTTAAGTATTTGATATAATAATTACTGTTGGGTTCTTCCAAATAGGTGATAGCTAGATGCAGACTGATAGTGTTGCTTGACTTTTTGTTAGTGTTTATTTCAGTTATAGTAAGGAGAACGGTTTGGCCTTATGTGCATCTCATTAAGTGCTTGTTAAGCGTTAAATATAATACTTATTATTGGGTTATATCTGAGAAATAGATAATAGATGTGGGCTAATAATGCTGCTTGACTTTGTTAGTGCTTGTTTCACTTATAGTAAGAGGAATGGTTTGGCCTTGTATTTATTTCATTAAGTACTTGTTAGATATAATACTTATTATTGGGTTCTTCCTGAGAAATAGAGAATAGATTTAGCTAACAATGTTGCTTGACTTTATTAGTGGGTTTTTTCACTTATAGTAAAAGAGGAATGTTTTGGCCTTATGTGTATCTTGTTAAGTGCTTGTTAAGTGTTAGATATAATCGTTCTTGTTGCGTTCTTCCAACAGAGCAATAGATGTGGATCGAGAGCATTGCTTGGCTTCATTAGTGTTTGCTTCACTTACAGCAGGAGGCTCTTACTTTGGCCTTACGTGCATCCCATTAAATACTCTTTAAGTGTTAGATATAACTATTTCTGTGTTCTTTCTGCTTTAAAGGAGGCAGCTGGTTGGTAAGTGGCCTGTCCCACTCTGGCTCATGCGGCGACTGCTGCCCGGAGCCCCTCTGCATCCTCGTGGGCTCGGTGTTAACTGCAGGGAGTGAGGGGCTCCTATGGCACCCGGGGCTCTGAGCAGGACCCGCTGCCGAGTGTTGCTTGCTGCTGCCTTGCAGGGGTGATGGAGGAGCCGGGGAGAGCCCTTGGCCCCGCAGGGAGCCCAGCACCAGCCTGGGATGAGGCTCTGGCAGCATGGCTGGCCCTGCTCCTGCCCTTTGCTAAAAGTGCCCTGTTCACTCCATCCCGGCCGCTCGTGGGGCACTGCTTTTGCAGAGGGAAGGCCCTCCCGCTCCTGTCCAGCCACCACTCCACTGCCCGCTGCCCCACTATCCCCTCGCCTGGGGGGCTCGCTGGCCCCAGGTATGGGGGAACCCCATCCCTGAGCCCCAGCAGCTCACCATTTCTGCCCCAACGAGGTCTCAAGGGGTCTTCACACCCACCCTCAAAGTCCCACTCGCCTCCTCCATGCCTCACGTTGCAGGACAAGACATAGCCAACCAGCCCAAGGCCCCCATCACCATAAAGGCAGGACACATCCAGCCATTGCCCCAAGACGGGCTCCTGTGGCAGCACTTTTCTGGAGGGCCGTCTCCTGAAAGCCCATCTCCTGGAGGGCCATCTCCTGGATGGTCATCCCCTGGATGGCCATCTCCAGGACAACCATCCCCGCACACTTTCCTCCCGGGGTGCCTGGGGAGCTCCTCCAGCTGCCCGCAGAGACACCCACCCAAGCACAGCCCCTCCAACCATCACCACGGCCAAGGCTGGTGCCAAGACGCTCACTCACCCGTGGTTGACAATGTAGGTGATGATGGTGGTGAAGAGGCAGAGCAGCAGCACGGCCGTACAGGTGTACATGGCCGGGTGCAGCACCTCCACGGCACCTCGCGCCTCGCTGGGGAAACCGCTCAGCTCCTGCACAGCCCAGCACAGCACAGCACAGCCCGTCAGACCCCGCACCACCCATCCCCATCCCCCTGTCCCTCCCCACCACCCCCCTGCAGCCCGCAGGCTCCGCACCCCCCGAGCAAGCCTCCCAGGCCCACTGCTCACCCCCACCTACCATGAGCACAGCCACGTTGCTGAGGTGCCGGCAGTGGAGGGAGGTGACGTTGGGCTCCCGGGCAGCCAGCTGGCAGCCCTCGGCGCTCCAGCCCCCCATGCCCCCCAGCACCTCGAAGTTCCAGTACGCGGCCACCGGGTCCGCACCCTCCCCGGGGTGCCGCAGCGACACAGCTACCGGCTCCGACAGGTTTCCCACTCCGCAGCCATCTGCGGCAACAGAGAAAGGCGGTGAGCAGGGCAAGAGACACCCCTCTGCCTGCACCCCCAAAGGAGGCTGGGCATGGGGGACCCCCCCCACTGCATCCCACAGGCATGTTGTCACCTCCCCATGAGGAGCCCCAGGGATGGCTTTGCTCAGCAGGAGCACCAGGGCACAGCCCAAGGAGCCCCATGGAGCTCCATCCCCCGAAAAGCCCCACATAGGGCACCCCAAAACCCCGCCAACAGGCAGCCCTTACAGGTCCCGGCATAGATGACCGGCGTGGCCACGCTGCGGCGCTTGCCGTCGTCGGCCAGTCGGGAGGAGTTGCCTGTGCTGCAGAAGAGCTTGCCGTTGCGGAAGACCAGCAGCTGGAGCTTGCAGTCGGCCAGCGGCGTGGCTGGGACAGGGCTGGCGAAGAGGCTGGGCGGCAGCTGGATGGAGGCCAGGGCGATGCTGTTCTGCGGGCGCATGGTTGCTGGTGAGCAGGGGCCACCCCACCGGCACCCCCCTGTCCCCCAGCTTACCCGTACCTTGATGTGGAAGCTAGTCAGGGAGACGTTGGGACGCCCCGTGGTGCAGCGCAGCCTCAGCTGCTGGTCGGGCATGGGCTCGGCCCCCCGCTCGGCAGGAGGGGGACGCCCGGCCAGACCCCCGTCCTGCCGCTGGAAAGCCACGCAGCTCAGCCCCACGTAGCTCTCAGGCTTCACCACGTACGCCTCGAAGGCGATGTTGCGTGAGTTCTGCCAGGCACAGCACCGCAGGGCGGCCATCAGCCCTGGCATGGCCAGAGACCCCCCCAGCATGGCCAGAGACCCCCAGCATGGCCAGAGACCCTGCACCAGCAGCCCAGCCACCTCTTTCTCTCTCCTCAGCCTCCCATCTCCAGCCACCCCTTGCCCCCCACTCACCACTGCCATGTGCTGGGAGTTGCTGCTGAGCGTGTGGGCAGCGATCTTCTCCAGGGAGCGGACGATGCTGGTGCAAGCCTTCTCCTCCTTCTGTGACATCCACAGGATGTGGTCATCCACCAGCATGATGTTGCTGGCCATCTCCACGATCACGTCCGTCAGCTGCGAGGACAGCAAGCGGCTCCACAAAGAGCTACTGCCATCCCCAGCGGCAAACACCCCAATTCATGCTTTTCCACCCCAAAAATAACTGGCAGGGCTGGGACAAGCAGGGGACAGGACAAGTGCTCATTACCTGCTTGATCTGGTCCACATAGCCGATAAACTTCTCTATCATCTGGGCCACGTAGAGGACATCAACCATGTCCGAGAAGTTGGCCGCCTCGGCTGTGTAGACGCGGAGCTGGTGAGCCAGGGTCAGGGCGTTGGAGGCGTTGATGGGCATCTGCAGAGTGGCACGGCCGCGGGGGGAATGGTCACCGGCTGCGCCAGCCCCCCGGCACGGCCAAGCCCCCCCCAGCCCCCTGGCTCACCAGCACGAAGGTGTAGAGGACGCGGGTAATGTCGTTGGTGTAGAGGCAGTGGGAGTAGTCACCCTCCTCCCAGCGCCCGGCGCGGTCGCAGCGCCGCCACGCCTGCTTCTCCACTGCCGAGCCCCCGCCGGCCGGCCCCGCGGCGAAGGGGTACTGCAGGCAGGGCTGGTAGGCGGTGATGCCTGCCAGGGTGCGGGGCCACCTGTGGGCATGGGCACACGGTGACCACAGGGCACTCACCACCAACGGCCCTCTCCTGCTGCACTCCCCCCGTGCGGACCCTGCCCAGCACCATGCCACGGCCCGCGGGCACCGCAGCCCCCAAATCCCCCCAACAAGCCCCTGCCTCCCCTTGGCTCCAGGGGGGGGCTGAGGGTGATGCTCCCCAGAAAGCTGCCCCCTCCCCAGTCCCATATCCCGCTCGGCTCAGCACAGCGCAGAGGGAAGCAGCGGGTGAGGGGGGGGCACCGCTAATTCAAGCCACATTGACTGTACCAGTAATTTATATTCAGTAATGGCCCCGCCGGGGTTACGGCGGGCGCCCGGAGCCTTTCGTCTCGTGCCAGAGAAATTCCAACACCTCTGCTGCTGGAGCTGGGCTGCGCCGCCGGCACGGGAAGCCCTTCAAAGGCGCTCACGCTCCCCGCGGCCGCTAATCGCTACCAGACGCCCAGTCACCTGCGGCGAGCCCCCCGCCCCGGCACGCACCGCTCCTGCTGTATGTGGCGTGCACCACGTGCATCCCTCGTCCCGCTGTGGCACCCACCCCGTGGCCACACCACTGCCGGTCCCTACCTGAAGTCCCCGCGGTTGTTGGTGACCCGCTCGGCAGGGCAGTAGGATGCGGAGGTCTCCAGCACCACGATCTCCACCTTCTTGCTGACGTTGCCCTGGGAGGTGGAGACGGCACACTCCCACTCACCGTTGGCGGAGACGTGGATGTTGGAGAGGATGAGCTCACTGCGGGCAGAGGGGACAGGCTGGCATGGCGGGTCTGCCCCACAGCAAACCCGCAGCAACAGTCCCCCAAGCTTGGGGGCGTGGGGACACACACCATGAAGCACAGGAGGTGCCCATGCTTGGCAGCCCCCCCACGGCACTTTGTACCCGCAAACCAGCAAGCCCTGCGGCCACGAGTGTCTGTCCCTGTCCCCATCCCCATCTCCATCCCTGTCCTCATCCCCATCCCATCTCCATCCCTATCCCCATCCCATCTCCATCCCTGTCCCCATCTCATCTCCATCCCTGTCCCCATCCCATCCCCATCCCTGTCCCCATCCCATCCCCATCCCCATCCCCATCCCATCCCATCCCATCCCATCCCCCTCCCATCCCACTCCCCACCCCTGTGCC